ATGAAATGAAGGCAGAAATAAAGATGTTCTTTGAAATCAATGAGAATGAAGATAGAAGTACCAGCATCTCTGGGACACATTTAAGGCAGTGTCTAGAGGAAAATTTATAGCAATAAATGTCCACATGAGAAGCAAGGAGAGATAAAAATAGATACCCTATCATCAAAATTGAAAGAGCTAGAGAAGCAAGATCAAAAATCTCAAAAGCTAGCAGAAGACAAAAAATAACTAAGATCAGAGCAGAACTGAAGGAGATAGACACACAAAAAACCTGCAAAAAATCAACAAATCCAGGAGGTGGTTTTTTGAAAAGATCAACAAAATAGACTACTAGCCAGATTAATAAAAAAGAAAAGAGAGAATAATCAAACAGATGCAATAAAAAACAATAAAGGGGATATCATCACAGATTCCACAGAAACACAAACTACCATCAGAGATGACTACAAACAACTCTATGCACATAAACCAGTAAACCTGGAAGAAATGGATACATTCCTGGACAGTTGCATCCTCCCAAGCCTAAACCAGGAAGAAGTCAAAACCCTGAATAGACCAATAACAAGGGCTAAAGTTGAGGCAGCATTTAATAGCTTATCAACCAAAAAAAGCTCAGGTCCAGATTGGTTCACAGCCAAATTCTACCAGATATACCAAGAGGAGCTTGTACCATGCCTTCTGAACTATTCCAAACAATCCAAAAAATGGGAATCCTTCCCAAATCATTTTAGGAGACCAAAATCATCCTGATACCAAAACCTGGCAGAGATTCAACAAGAAAAGAAAACTTCAGGCCAATATCCATGATGAACATAGATGGAAAAACCTTCAATAAAATACTGGCAAACCAACTACAACAGCATTTCGAAACGCTTATCCATCATGATCAAGTAGGCTTGGTCCCAGGGATGGAAGGCTGGTTCAACATACACAAGTCTATAAATGTAATTCACAACGTAAGCAGAACCAAAGACAAAAACCACATGATTATCTCAATAGATGCAGAGAAGGCCTTTGACAAAATTCAACAGCCCTTTATGCCAAAAACTCTCAATCAACTAGGTATCAATGGAACATATTTGAAAATAAGAAAAGTTATTTACAACAAACCCAGAGCCAATATCATTCTGAATGGGCAAAAACTGGAAGCATTCCCTTTGAAATCTGGCAGAAGGATGCCCTGTCTCACCATTCCTATTCAATATAGTACTGGACATTCTAACCTGAGAAATCAGGCAAGAAAAAGAAATAAAGTGTATTCAGTTAGCAAAGGAGGAAGTCAAATTGTCTCTATTTGCAGACAACATGACTGTATATTTAGAAGACCAAATCATCTCAGCCCAAAATCTCCTTAAACTGATAAGCAACTTCAGCAGTCTCGGGATATAAAATCAATGTGCAGAAATCACAAGCATTCCTATACACCAAGAACAGACTAATAGAGAGTCAAATCAAAAACAAACTGCCATTCACAATTGCTACAAAGAGAATGAAATACCTAGGAATACAACTAACAAGGAACGTAAAGGACCTCTTCAAGGAGAACTACAAACCACTGCTCAAGGAAATAAGAGAGGACACAAACAGATGGAGAAACATTCCATGCACATGGTTAGGAAGAAGCAATATTGTGAAAATTGCCATACTGCCCAAAGTAATTTATAGGTTCAACGCTAAGCCCATCAAGCTACTTATGACCCTTTTCACAGAACTGGAAAAAAATACCTTAAACTTCACATGGAACCAAAAGAGAGGCCACATAGCCAAGTCAATTCTAAGCAAAAAGAACAAAGCCAGAGGAATCATGCTACCTGACTTCAAACTATACTACAAGGCTACAGTAATCAAAACAGCACAGTATTGGTACATAACAGAGATATAGACCAATGGAACAAAATAGAGGCCTTGGGGGCAATGCCACACATCTACAATGATCTGATCTTTGACAAACCTGACCAAAACAAGCACTAGGGAAAGGATTCCATGTTTAATAAATGGTGTTGGGAAAACTGACTAACCATGTGCAGAAAGCAGAAACTGGACCCCTTCCTAACACCTTGAACTAAAATTAACTCCAGATGGATTAAAGACTTAAACATAAGACCTAACACCATAAAAACCTTAGAAGGAAATCTAGGCAAAACCATTTAGGACATAGGCATAGTCAAGGACTTCATGACTAAAACACCAAAAGCATTGTCAACAAAAGCCACAATAGACAAATGGGATCTAATTAAACTCCAGAGCTTCTGTACAGCAAAAGAAACAATCATTAGAGTGAACTGCTAACCAACAGAAAGGGAAAAAATTTTTTCAATCTACCCATCTGACAAAGGGCTAATATCCAGAATCTACAAAGAACTAAAACAGATTTACAAGGAAAAAACAAACAACCCCATTCAAAAGTGGGCTAAGGACATGAATAGACACTTTTCAAAAGAAGACACCTATGAGGCCAACAGACTTATGAAAAAATGCTTATCATCACTCATCATCACTGGTTATTAGAGAAATACAAATCAAAATCACATTGAGATACCATCTCATGCCAGTTAGAATGGCAATCATTAAAAAATCTGGAGACAACAGATGCTAGAGAGGATGTGGAGAAACAGGAACGCTTTTACAGCATTGGTGGGAGTGTAAATTAGTTCAACTATTGTGGAGGACAGCGTGGCAATTCCTCAAGGGCCTAGAAATCGAAATTCTATTTGACCCAGCAATCCCATTACTGGGTATATACCCAAAGGATTATAAATCTTTGTATCATAAAGACACATGCACATGTATGTTCACTGCAGCACTGTTTACAATAGTAAAGACGTGGAACCAACCCAAATGCCCATCGATGATAGACTGGACAGGGAAAATGTGGCACATATACACCATGGAATACTATGAAGCCATAAAAAAGGATGAGCTCATGTCCTTTGTAAGGACATGGATGAACCTCGAAACCATCATTCTCAGCAAACTGATACAAGAACAGAAAATCAAACACTATCTGTTCTCACTCACAGGCAGGTGTGGAACAATGAGAACACATGGACACAGGGAAGGGAGCATCACACATTATGGTCTGTTAGTGGGGACTAGAGGAAGGACAGTGGCGGGTAGGGAGTTGGGGAGAGATAACATGGGGAGAAATGCCACATATAGGTGATAGGGATGGAGGCAGCAAACCACATTGCCATGTATGTACCTATGCAACAATCCTGCATGTTCTTCACATTTACCTCAGAACCTAAAGTGCAATAAAATAAATATAAATATAAATATAAATATAAATAAATATATATAAAAGAATGATAGAATGAACTTTAGGAACTTGGGGAGAGGAACAGCAAGAAGAGGGTGAAGGATAAAAGACCATAAATTAAGAGCAGTGAATACTGCTCAGGTGACGGGCATACAAAAATCTCACAAATCACCACTAAAGAATTTATTCATGTAACCAAATACCACCTGTACTCCAATCACTTCTAGAAATAAAAATAAACAAACAAAAAATAAATAAAAAAGTAAATGGTGGTATATCATTAGTAATAGATTCTGTGATTATTGACATCGTAACTCTCACTATTCTGTCCCTATTAATTCTGTGTATTCAGATTAGAGAAATACAGCATGTTCTACAGAAAGTGGTAAGAATCTTTTAGTTTTGTTTTTCAATTTTAAAAAACCTACTTAAAATTAAATGTAGTACAGTAAAGACATGTGTCCTAAGTTACCCTTAAATTTCTTTGCTTTTAGCAAGAATTCTTCAGCTCTCTATGGTAATTCTCTTGTGCCACTCAAAAGTGTGCATGGGTCTTTCATATATTTTCTTAAGAAAAGATAATTATTATTTTACATATTATTTGTTGATAATGTCACAAAATATAGAAAGAGTGGTACAAATATCATTCATCGATTTCCTTATTGAATAATTTTAGTTACCTATTGACATGTTTTTTAAAGGACTGGGCTTCCTCTAAATATATAGGCAGTGCAATGTAATAGGTTGGTCAGGGAGAGATATAACAAATGGCCACATTAAAAATGTCACCTAAATTCAGAAGTTCTAAACATGAAGGAAAGGAAACAAGAGCTTTGCTCCTATCCCTGGCACCAGATGAAGACACCCCCCACTTCATCTAATACTAAGAATGATAGATACAATATCCTATTCCCATTTTTCTATGCTATGATACAAAAAGCAGTAAGTGTGACATTCCAGAGTCAGAAAAGACACAAAGCAGTGATTTTACCCTAGCGAAATACATGGAAAAACAAACTGAAATATTCCCTTTTAGGTGTCATAAACCCCTTGCTTGCACTGACACATACATTGGGACTGAACATCAAATTTCACTTGTACACAAATAGGAGGACTTCTCCAATCAATAAGAGAGTTGGAGTTCACCAAATAGTGCCAGATGTAAACACAACATTTATTGCAAATAGAAAGTTGCACATAATGTAATCTTATACTAATTGGCTTATATTATCAGGTCTATGAATGATAATGTTCCTAATAAACCAATAATAGAATAAAATCTCAAGCACACCAATAAACCTGCTGCTGGAGTTATTTAATGTCGTTTTAAGCAAGGAGCATGTGCTGCTAATTTAGATTCCGTTGACACAGCAGATTGTTATAATTCTAATAACTGTGTGTGATGCTACCCAGTAGATGATAAGTGAGGCAGGTCAGTTCATCAGGCTTTATCTCTAATTAGCACTAAAAACGCACACTCCAAACTATAGCAGAGAAAAGACTTGACCTTGCTAAACTAAACACGTTGGAGGGAAGGCAAATGAAGCTCTATTTTCAGAGAGAGGCAGCCTTTTAAGCAATGACAGAAAGGTACCCACTTTCGGAGAGCCACATGCCCCATCACAACATAATGTATCAAGTCAACCCACAGTATTATGCCTCAAGAAAGAGCTGTTATTCTTTCTGACTCAATCTTTCTACCTATCTTTCTCCCTATCCCCCATAAAACAGGCTAGATTACCTTTCTCGCAGTGGCTTCCTGTGAATCCAGATGGACAGACACATTTGTTAGGAGCCACACACGTTCCACCGTATCTGCAGCCCTCTTCACAGAAAGCTGTTGCAAGAGAACAAAGTATTTATCTTAGATAAAAGGCAATACATAAAGTCATGGTAAACAGCATGAGCACTGAAACAATTATTTCTTTGTTGCATCGAGAATACACATCTGTACTACTGATGTATTTAAAAATTCCATACACAAAAAGAAATAAATGTAATAATACCTGTTTCACTGTTTAATATGAAATCAACTGCAATAATGAATGCAAAGTGTTGAGCACAGGGCTGGCATGCTAAATGGTAGATAGTGTTAACTGCTGTCACTCTTACTCTTATTTATTTATTTATTTGAAATCAAGTAGAATAAATTGAGTACCTAGGAAGGGGTAGGGTCAGGATGAAGGTAAAGGCCAATGTTCACTATTTTGTAACCTAATCTTTTTCACTAACCATCTTTTATGAAAATAAAAAACTTCCATGTTTTTTAAAAAAGACTTCTGATAGTTGATATGTTTAATACTTATAATATAAATGTAACTAATCTTTTACTTTTGAATATATATGCTGTTTCCAATATTTTGGTAATAAAAACAACGCCTTGTTCTGATAGCCAAAATGATTAGAAAAACCTAAATTATTCCTGTATGAAAAATTCCTCAGTGTAGAAATGTTGGTCCCAAGGGTCTAGATTATTAAGATGATTTTGGATATGCATTGTAAAGCTATTCTTACTCCTTCCCAGTGCTATCCTGGCAGCCTTCCCAGACCAGGTCAGTTCCCCTTAGTGCATACTTGCATAGCATTAAATAGTTCAATGAACCTCTCCATTGCAATAGTAAACACAATTATAAATTTACATATAATTGATTACCATCTCCTGCTTTATCAGTTGAACTGTAAGACCCATATGAATAAGTAGCATAATTGTTTTTACTCACCACTGTATTGTAGCCGCATCATCTATTCACATAGTACATGCTCAAAACAGATTTGTTAAATGAATTAATCTACATTCTACAGGTTGTTATGATAGTAAAAAAAAAACCTCACTCTAACAATTCTGCAATTCTTTCATCCAGTAAATTTAATATCAATCCTTGCTGGATAATCAATAATTTAGTATACAAAACATGCAAAATTTCACATTAATGAAGATGATTGCAACTGTTAATCCTAAATTTATTTTATTCACAAGAGAGATAGGTGAGCAAATGTTTCAAATTTTAATTGTAGTTTGAAAATGTCACCCTAGAAAAATGTCATGGTTATATTTTGCCATGATCACTCATAATTGATATGAGTTTAACTTCAAAAGCCACATGATGTGTTGAGAAAGTTGAATACTATTCCAAATACATAGAACCCCTCACAATATTGCTGTTTTACACATCATTTAATATACTTTGAATGATTTAACATTTCATAGCATTAGCAATTAATTTCAACTTCCTTTGCCTCTGCCAAAGGACAGTGTGTACCTTGGAATTCAAATATCATTTTTTATTTCTAGCACCTCAGTACACTTTACCTATGTCAAAAAAGATTTACACATTATCTTCCATGGTAAGTGAATCACAAAAACCAAAATATATAAAATATACATGTACAGATGTATGCAAAATTTCTTGTCCCAAAACTTACACCTTGTGGGCTCCAGTGACTGACATTTCAAAAAACAGTGAAGTGTTTTTTCAAGCTAAAAATAACAGTTGGAAAGCTCGTAAGAAAATGTTTTAAGTAGCACCAAAAGAAGGCAGGAGCTTAAAACAGAAGACTCAGCTTGGGTTTCTCCAGTGCACAGCTGAAACAGCACTTCATTTAAATTTTGCAGACCTGGTTAGGAGACTTAATGTTTCATGGTAGATATATGCATTTGATTTACTCAATCCTTAAGTAGAAATAATGATACAGTGGAAGGTTTTATGAGAAGAGCATGAGATGTTTCTTATGTTCTAAGGATGTGCAGATATTAGAATAAACAGTAGTGCAATGATTAAATGAGTTAACATTTATAAAGAACTTAAAATGGTGTTTGGCACATAGTGTTATATAAGAGTTCTGTTAAATAAAATTAACTGATAACAGACTTGCTATGACTGTGAAACACAGACCAGGAACAGTCTAATATCCAGACAATATAAACCCAATATTAGAATAGAATCTAATCATCATCATACAAGGTGTTCAGCTTCACCAAGATGGGCTTAAGGCATCCCTTTTTACTTATGCTTGATTTGCTTTTAACAAGGGTAGTTTTCATTCTTATCATAGAGGTGTCTGACAGTTGTATTGCTCTTATTACAGAAAAAGTAAACTTAAGGCTCTGAAATCAAGTGCCCTAAGGCTGCCTAGGTAGAAAGTAGCAGAGACAATATTCAAGTTAAGATATATTTGCCTTCGAAGTTTTACCACTTCCTTATCTGTTATAGTGTGGGTTAATCTACAATCCAGTGTTCACAAAGGCAGGTTAATTTTATTTTTAAAATCATTCCATAAGGGCTAAGGGAACTGACTAAAATTTAAAAGAAAAAAAATGCCCAAATTGCATGTTGCATTAAAGAATGGGGATGAAGAGCTATTCAAGTTCATGTACCTATTATCTAATTTCCGTATTTGCCCAAAACTAATCACATTGTTCCCAATCTAGGCACACATTATTTTTAATGTGATTTATCTGAAATAACCAATAAAACCATTGCCTAGTTGAACCTTAGACAATATGCCAAAGTAATTTCAACACAAAGCAAATAAAGAAGGGATATGTCATCAAAAACATATACTACTTTGTGGAAATTAAGATTAATTCAAGTTTTCTTTGAATATCTAATAAAATAGTAGAATATACTAATGTATTGTAGTTTGAAGATTGTGCATGGATTATTCATATCTGGATAGGCTCTTCTTGATTGACTATGAACTCAGCATTTCAATGAAAAGGACGCTGATATGCAGAGGCCTGGTAATTGTGCAGCATTATTTAGTTGATGGCAGAAGCAAAACAAGCAGCTGGATTACCCCTACGTCGTCTTTCTAGTTTGTGAGGAGACAGGCTGGCAGAAGTTTTATGGTCCTAATTCTTGCTCTATATTTATTAACTGTATGACCTACAGCATATCATTCCACTCCTCTGTGCCTCAGTTTTGTCAAGAACAAAGCAGCTGAGGATAATAATATGATTTCTGCTGGGGGGAATAAATTAAGTTACCAACATAGACCACCCAGCTCAAGGCACGGAAAATGGAATGTGCTCACGAACTGGGTGTGACTGTTTTTATTTATCACCAGGACTCTGCTTTTCCAGATAATGATACAATTATGAACCAGTTTATGTTCTAGATTCTAAAGATACAGTAGTAAGACAGTAAAGATCCCTGTGCCATGGCTCTTATTCTTTAGTGAGGACTCCTCGTCCCTCCTTCCTTAAATTAGTGCCCTTTGTAATATCATGTGGTTTGCAATGAAACTTAGAATCATAGCTACTTTGGAAAACTCAGAGAAACGCAGTTACCATGTATATGTGACTTAATATGTTGGTCCTTCTTCAACTGCTACCCAGATTATGAAGCATGGCAGAAATAGATGGTGTGTGTGTGTGTGTGTGTGTGTGTGTGTGTGTGTGTGTGTGTGTAGTAAGATAAACCTGAATCTGTCATTATAGTACCATTTGTTTGTTATTAACTTACTGCCCGGGAGGAGATGTTAGATTGAATCAATTGCAAAATGGCATGTGTCTAATTCTGAAAGAACCCTTTCCATTGTGCAAGAAAATAAAATCACAAAACTCATATTTGAGAAAGGTTCAATCCACAGAAAGAGTACTTTTTTGTATTAAAATATAAAATATTCTCAGCATGTAAAATAAAATGTGGACATTAGGGGAACAAAATGAGAAGGTGGGTTTGCAGATGCCAGGATTGTGGATGCCCAGTACTATCATCATGTGCTCAATTCAACAAAAGCCGTTTCACACTAATAAAAAGTAATAGCCCTTCGCTTTTTAAACACTTCTCATAATCTTCTTAAAGTTTAATGGCATCTATGTAGTTCCTAGGGACACCTGAAATTCTGAAACAGTAAGTAAACATACAAATTTCAACACCATCTGTTAGAAGGTAAACCTTTTCTTCCTTCCAAGTTTACTTGAGGAAGAATTTTCCTTGAGGCAGCATTTTTCCAAAGCTCATTCCTGACCTCTGCCTGTGAACTTTGCTCATTCTACCCTATGGAGGTGGAGGAATTTATTTTGTTGGTAAATTTGGGAAAGATATATATCAGGATGATGGTGCTTAACTGAGAGAGACAGGAAGATAGGCTGGGAAGCTCTGTGTGATTAGAAGTAGACAGTTGTTGCATTTCTAGCTTTATTTTAGGTAGCATGTTAGTAGGTATGAATTACATTATTTAAATTAACTGTTTATTTAAATAGATAAAAGCTGGCCACTACAGACAATGATTATAAGCTGACAGAAACCAAAGATAATAATTAATTTGACTATGTCCACCTAAAATCCAGAATTGAAAGGAAATCATAAAAATCTGATCACGTTCAGCAAAAGAACATGCCTGCCATTCTGCTTTCTTAAGTGCACACTGCCTTCAGAATTACCAGCTTTCCTTACTTCTTTAATAACACTTTCCTCTCTGGAACTCAGTGGATAAGTCAGCCTTCTTCTGTGTTCATTTTGAGCAAGCCAGCTCTGTTTACAGATTGAAATTCATGATCTCCAACCCAGCTCTGTTAATAACAAAAGTGATATAATCACTTCTACATTTGCTTTTTGGTTTCATTCCTCACCTTGTTCAGAGCATATTTATCAAATGCCCCTCAAACATTTTTGGTTGTCACAAGATAGAGGGAGGAACAATGTGGTCCTATTACTTGGTGGGTCGAAATAACGAATGTTCAAACATCCTACAATGCACAGGACATCCCTGTACAAAAAAGAATTATCTGGCCCAAAATGTCAATAGTGGTGAGGCTGGGAAACTCAGCTGTACCTTTTCACAATGTAAGTTTATTAAGTGTCTTCAGGAGCAAAATTTTATTTTTTTAAT